TTACGTGAAGACCAAGAATCCCGACAGCCAGTGGCCGCCCTGCCCTGGGACTGACAGGGAAGCCCTTCCCCCCGAGTCCAGGCCCCAGACTCAGAGGGCACCCTACTCAGGACCCCAGGTAAGACCACTTGTGAAACTGGCGGTTACTCAAGAGACAGCACTTCGTTTCTGAGTACGAGGCATGTGTTGTGTATATGATATGCCAGCCGCTGCTGGGAGAACAGAAAGGCAGTGGCATCCCTGTGGCCTGACAGCCTCCACAGGCTCACAGTCGGCTCCGTGGCTGGCGGCCCAGCTGCAGGACTTCCGCTCCATTCCTTGCCACGGGAAGGACCTGTGTCCCTGCCTTCCATACTGGAGTCGGCCTCCCTGAGCCTGGGGAGAAGAAAAACACGCCTGGCCTGAGAGCTGCCTGTGGGAGTCAGTGACAGGATGTGGTGGAAGCAGAGACAGGGATCGCACTCAGCGTGTGGTCAGTGACCGTTACAGTGGCCGCCATCCTCATCCTCCCTGTGGTCCGTCTGACTGCACATTACCTAAGGGGTACAGGTGTGGTTCACAGCTCAGCTGTCTCACCTGTGTCTGTTGTGTTCTGCCCAGTGCAGGCAGAAGAGGCACAGAGAAGAGAGGCAGAGGGAAGATCTGGCTATTTGTTTTTTGTTTTTTTGAGGTGGAGTTGTGTGCTGTCCCCTGGGTTGGAGTGCAGTGTTGCGATATCAGCTCACTGCCACCTCTGCCTCCCAGGTTCAATCGATTCTCCTGCCTCAGCCTCCCAAGTAGCTGGGATTACAGGCAGCCACCCCCATGCTCAGCTAATTTTTTCTATTTTTAGCAGACATGGGGTTTCACCATGTTGGCCAGGCTGGTCTCAAACTCTTGACCCTTGTGATCTGCCGACCTCAGCTTCCCAAAGTGCTGGGATTACAGGCGTGAGCCACTGAACCTGGCCTGGCTGAGGATTTGTTGAGGTGCTGGCTTTGCTGCTGAGTAAAGCCTTGGATTTGCTGGCTTCTCGCAGCCCCGTCTCAGTGTAGGTGCCCATCTCAGGCCCGTCAGCATGTCCTGAGTGGGGTCCGGTCAGGGTGGTGTCCTAAGGATGTTTTTCTCAGAAAACAGTTTGAAGAAAATGGCAGAATAATAACCTTCAAAAGTTAGTTCCTCCATTAAACGCAATAATAAACTTTCAAAAGTCGGATTTCTGGGGTTGAAAAATGAATGAAAGTACACTAGACAGCTTGACAGCAGATGGGGCAGGAGAGTCAGAAAACCTGTGAGCGCAGGTCACCTGGTACTTTGCCTGAGCATCAGGGAATGAGTGAAAAAAATGAAGAGAAACCGGTGAGTCTCTTAAGCACACCGGTGAAGTTCCAGAAGGAGAGAAGAGCAGAAACAACGGGTAACCAACAGCCTGACCATCCCAAGTGGATCAGAAACATGGATCTTATATCCAGGGAGCTCAGTGACCTCAGGCAGGTGAACTCAGAGAACAGCTGTGCTTAGACAAGTCAGAGTGTCAGACACTGAGACTCTTGCACGAGAGAGGAGCATTCTCCGCGCACAAAGCATCGTCCACAGCAGCAGCTCCATCGTCCCTTCACAGAACCGAGCTTGGGATGAGGAGGCCAGTGTCTGGTCACAGTGCCCCAGGTGATGACCATAGTGTGAGGATGTGCCGGCTGTGGCACCCGGCCCTGCCTGAGGCAGCGGAGGAGGAGGGGACAGCCTGGCTGCTGCACCAGCACGCAAGGCACCATCTTGGTGTTGAGCTGGGGGACGTGGTGGGGCTCCGAGCAGAGGAAAATGGCTCTGCTTTGCTGTAGGTCACTACCTCCCCAAACCCGTGCCCTGTGCTCGCCAGGACCTGGCCGCGCTGCTGGAGCAGATTGGCTGTCTGAAGTACCTGCAGGTGTTTGAGGAGCAGGACGTGGACCTCCGCATCTTCCTGACCCTCACTGAGAGCGACCTGAAGGAAATCGGCATCACGTGCGTCCAGAGGGGCTGCTCTGGCCTCAGCCTGGGGTTGGGGCAAACTTCCTGCACATGCAAGTTCCCTTGGGAGGCTGAGACATGTTGTGGTCGTATTCCTCCCTGCAGGCTGTTTGGGCCCAAGAGGAAGATGACGTCCGCTATCGCCCGTTGGCACAGTAGTGCCCGCCCACCTGGGGACGCCCTGGAGCTGGCCTATGCTGACCGGCTAGAGGCTGAAATGCAGGAGCTTGCCATCCAGCTGCACAAGGTGAGTGACTATGGCTGGAGGGCGAGGCAACACCCCGGACTTGGCCCCAGCTCTGACAGAAAAGGCGAGCACTGTGTGGAGGGGTTCTACACAGAAGACAGGGCTGGCTTGCGCAGGCACCTCCCAGCCTCCATGCCCCCTGCAGCGCTGCGAGGAGGTGGAGGCCATTCGGGGCCAGGTGTGCCAGGAGCAGGAGCTACGGGCCGTGGTGGAGAGCTGCCTGCTGGAGCAGGACCGTGCCCGTGAGGATATCCAGGCCCAGCTTCGGGAAACGTGGGTCCTAGCCCGGGATGCTGCTCTCATCCTGGACCAGCTGCGGTGAGTGGCTCTGAGCTGCCCTGGGCTGGGTCTCCGGTGGTCACCCCTGGCATTCTTTCTTCCTGACTTTGTAACTGAGAGGTGGATTTCAGGTCCCGGGACCACCCCACCTCCATTTCATCCAGGCCTTTGCTTCCTGCAGGCAGACCCAGGCAGCACTCGTGGCTGGGAATCTGCGTGGGTTTTCCTCTTGCTCATTAGTGCTGCTTCATGTGGCACTGGCCCAGCCCTGAAAGGCCAGCTGCAGGGACAGACAGGGCAGAGACCCTTCCTCCCCTTGAAGGTCTGAGTTGGGGGCTCTGCATTTCAGGCCTCTGCCCTCACCAGCACTTGTTCCTGTGTCTGGCAGAGCCTGTCAAGCTGAGCTGTCAGCCCGAGTGAGGCGGGACCAGCCCCCTGGTGCAGCCACCCTGGGCTCAGCCCTCCCGCCAGCTGGTAAGAGCGGTGGCCTGGCTCCACACTGGTCAGAGGGGAAGGCAGGGAGCCCTGAAGCCGGCTTTGACCCAGTGGCCTTGGTCTGGTTCTCAGGCCAGCAGCCACTCTCCCGGGTCCCTGTGTACACATGACCCCAGAGTCCAGGGAGAGGGGACCCTGGGGATGAAAGCCCACTTCCTCACCTATGACAGGAAAACTCCCCCAGCGGTGGGAGGCACTGGAAAGACCGTGCCGTGACTGGCTGTGCTGTGCTGACACCTCCAGTGACTTCTGCAGCCTCCAGCCAGGGCCCAGACCCAGGCCCCCACCGGCATAGCTTTGTATTCTCCTGTGGGGCTGAGCGGGCTTGGTACTTTCCTCAGCCCATGGGAGGAAGGGCTCAGCCCTCAGAGGTCACTTAGACATGGGCAGGCAGGCAGGCAGGGAGGTTCTGATCCAAGGAGGGTCTCCTGCTTGCATGGGCTCAGGATAAAGAGGCAGGGCCTGTGGAGAACACAGATCCCCAGCTAACTCGGTCCCTGCATCGCAGAATCCAAGGGCTGGCAAGTGTCCCTGCAGGCCATGAGCCTCCCCGAGCTTTCAGGAGCCCTGGAGGACCGTGTTCGTGAGATGGGTGAGTCTCTGGGGACCAGACTTCATTGAAGACTGAGAACCCCTTTTGTTTCTGAGGGAGGCAGAGGGGCCCCTTTCCAGGGAAAGCAGGTTTGAGTCCCTCTACCCCAAGGCTGCCCTTGGGGCCAGGGCCTTGATAGCTAAGGGGCAGGTCACAACCTGAAGCTCAGAGCCCTGGGCAGCACCACTCAGCCCCACCGAGCCTGGGCCTGCAGGTCCTCAAGGTCGTCACTCCTAGTGCCCTGAGCCTGCCACCCAGACTTGCCAAGCATGGCATCTGGTCACATCCTCAGGACAAGCACTGTGCTCGGTGACCCAGAGCCTGGAGAAGCTGCAGGTGCTGAACGGGAAGAAGTGGCGGGAGCCCTAGCCCTCGGCCGGTGAGTGTCTGGCAGCCTGGAGCCCACACAGCGGGAACAGCAGGGCCTGTGTGGGCAGCTGCAGCTGCACCTACACACCCACCTGTCCCCTCCCTTCTCACCAGGGCTTTTTCTTTCAGAATCTGACGTTGGGTGATTGGTCCACCCTGAAGCTGTGTGCCAGGGAGTGAGCAGGTGGCTGCTGTGTGCAGCGCAGGCCCAGGCAGGGCCAGAGGATCAGGCCCCGGGAGCAGCCATCAGACAGAGGCAAGATGGGAGCTGCGGCCCTGGCTGGGCAGCTTGGGCCAGCACTGAGGCGGGACGAGGAACTCACCCCGACCCTGGCGGTGAGGCCAGAATGCATGGGCTGCCCTGGCCCCGACCAGGCAGGGCCCTGGGGGAAGTGTGTCCATCCACACGCACACACATACACAGGTGCCAACTGAGGTGTGACCTTAGAGGTGAGGACAGGGCACCTGGAAAATGCCATTTGTTGGAAAATAAAATTTAAGATTAGCTAGTGAAGGTCTCAGTTCTGGTTACATGACATGTGGCACTGGCCCATGTGGCGCCTTTGCTTCTGGAGCCCATCTGACTGAAGACAAGGCTTCGAGAGCCAAGCCCGTTCCCAGCCCGAATAACACAGGGCCTCCCCCGGCACACCACCTGCACATGGAGCTCTGCGAAGACGCTGGAACACTGCCTCCCTCCCAGGCATGCGCTGTGAACATTTTCCGACAGCACCACTGGAGTCTTTCCAGACGTGAGGCTGTAGGCCGCCATGGGTGATGGCTCTGTTTCCTTCTGCACGGTAAGCCTGCACTTCAGGCTGTCCCCTGGAGCTGCTTGCAGACAGTGGGGATGGGTGGGTTTTCAGAGCAAAGCAGGTCAGCCCAGGTGGAGCCAGGGCCGCCAGGATCAGGACCAAGAGTCCACCCTGAAGGTCTGGGCCCAGAAGCCCCAACCCGATGTGCTCAGCACACATGCTGGGATCCCCTCTCCTGGGCCCAGCCTAGGGCCTCCATGCAGAACCACACACAGAGCAGCTGAGTGACTTTATTGTCCTTCTCTTGCCACAGATCCATATATCGCTGGGCCCCCAAGGCCCTGACTGTCCCTGGGAATCAAGCCACGTGGGGCAAAGCTACTATGAAACCTCACCCACAGTTCACACATGGTGAAAGAAAACCTAGCAAAGTAAATCCAACAACAAACAAAATTAACAGGATTAATTTCCTACCCCACGCTGGCTCTCCCCTAGGCCCTGGACTGGCTCAGGAAGGAATGAAGTGACCTAGACAAGGCATCCTCCACCCACATATCCTGTCTTCTGAGTGGTCCAAGAACTGTGCCCCTCCCCCGTGAGACAATCAGGCACTACCTGGGCGTCCATCAGCTGCAATGAGATGCACACAAAGGAGGGTTTGAGCCCCAGGAATGAAAGCATCCTGAAGCTGGAGAGGCAGACCCAGGGTGCCCAGACCACCCTGCCCAGCCTGAGAGGGTGGGCTGGGTCCCAGCTGGCCTGGCCACTACGTAGTGACTGCTTGGGACAGTGGAGGTGACAGGAGGCCCACTCGCCCCAGTCAGTCAGAAGCGGGGTACAAACACTCTAGAAGCCACACTTGGCAGGAATTCCCAGCTTTCTAGCCCAGGGGAGGGTGCCAGCAGACCAGGCCACCCTCAGGAGGAGGCTGGGAGCAGCTTCTCCAGAGCCTTCTTCTGCTTCTCGGTGGCGGCAGCGAGGGCCTCAGCCAGCTTCTCCTCGGGCATCATGTTGAGCACCTTGAGGGCAAAAAGGAGCTGGCACTTGGCCGTGCTCACAAAGGCGTTGCTCAGGAAGTTGGGGAAGCCTCCAACACGGTCCTTCTGGGTGTACAGCGGGACCCGCACGAGGCCCAGAACCTGCACGGACAGGAAAGACGGCTTGGGGCTAGGCCCACCACGAGATGGCACCCCTGGCAGGAGGGGCCTGGAAGCTAGGAGGCCAGGGCATGAACAGCCAGCTTTGCCAAGGACTTAATGGGAGACCCAGGCAGGGCCTGGCAGAAGCCAGTCCGCTCCCTCGGAGCTGTACAGCTTCCACCTCAAACAAGTTTGGAAACTCACCCCATGCACTCCTGCCTGGTACCTGGGCCACCACCCAGGGTCCACACCCCATGCTCCCCAGCCACCCAGCGAAGCCTAAATACCCCGAGTCCAACCCTTCCAGACCACAACACACAAATCCAAAGAGCCTTCACGCCCCCATGAGGTTCCCAAGTTTTAACGACCCCCTCTCTGTGCTCCTTTCCCAACTCCCCAAGCAGGCCCCGCTCCCACATCCCCTCCTCCCCACCGATCCCACTCCCCAGTCCCAGGATTGGCAATGGCAGGCAGCAAGGCAGATGTAACACAGCCCTGAGGGAGCCCCAGCCCCGGCCCCCACCCCCACCCCTCCTTTCCCGATCCCCCAGCCCCAGACCCCTCTCCCCACCCCGTTGCTGGAGACAGCGACACCCGACCCAGCCCGGCCAGGGGACCCTCAGGGGACGTGTTACCCATCGGTGCCTTCCACGGGGCCAGAGCCAAACCCCGGGGCGGGGGGCGGGGCCCGGGCGGAGGCCCCACCTCCAGGCCGTGGTCGCGCGAGTGCACCGCGCTGATCTCCACGGCGTGCAGCTGCTCCAGCGTCAGCTGCCGCGCGTACAGGTGCGCCACGACGCGGTGCGGGCCCTCGGTCAGGTGCGAGCTCAGGTAGTCGGCCTCGGTGAGGCGCAAACAGCCCAGGCCCAGGCCCAGCACCCGGTTCAGGCCGTCCTCCAGCGACCAGAAGCGCCGGTCCACGAAGCCCCCGGGGAAGCCCAGCAGCCCGTCGAAGCGCATCTGCATCTGCAAGGGAGCGCAGGTCACGGGAACGCGGGTCACCGGCGCCGGAATGACGGACGCTCCCAGCCCAGCCCCCGCCCACGCCTGGGCCGGCGCCCGTTCTCACCAGCACCGAGAAGCGCATAGGGATGCGGCCGAAGAGCTGCCCGGGGTTGGCGGCGTACAGCATGGCGTGGCACGAGTGGCTCCAGCCGGGCCCCAGACGCATCGCCTCTACCCGGCTGATCTGCTTCAGCTCCGGAACCGCCGCGGTCGACATCTTGGCACTGACCCCGTCCCCGCCGCTGCCACTTATGGGCATGCGCGAGCCCGCCCCCGCTGCACTCTGCCAATCCGCTGGCGGCCGCGCCCCCGGGTCCCGCCCCCACGCCAATCGCCGGCGTGCCCCTGGGCCGAGCCCCTCTCAGCGCCGCCGCGCGTCGTTGAGAGGCGCAGGGGGCGGTGTGCAAAGGAGGGCGGTGCGCGTCAGCCGTCACCCAATAGTCGCACACCGCGGGCGGCGGCCCCGCCCAGCCGCCACCCAATAACCGCGCACCCCGAGTGGCGGACCCGCCTCTGACAGGAGCGCCAGGTCGACTGCTCGGTGCGGTAGCTGGGTCAAGGTTCACACTGTAGGCGACAAATATCTTCCTGGGTGCCCCAAAGCTGACACCCGAAAATCCCTGCGGTTTCTCTACCCTGGATAGCGCCGATCCCCTTGCGCTCACCCGTTTCTCCCCGGGGCCTGACCCGGCTCGCCGGCCCCGCCCATTCGCAATGGCGCTCTCGGCACGACCACGCTAGCTAGCAACGCCCCGGAATCTTCCTCCGCCAACGCCCCACACCGAGCCCAGAGGGCGACGGCCTTCGCCTGCCACCCACGACAGCTGTCCCGCTCTGGCCACCCTGCTAGCTGGCCCGATCCAGGACAGCACCGGGAGCAGGGCCTGGGAGGGCTTGAGTACCCTAATCCCCGAGTCCAGGATCAGAGCGGAAGACCAGAAACTCTGGTGCTTCGCGGACCCAGCCTGCTGGAGAGAAAGTGACTTAAATTCCGGGGCCGGCGCTTTCCGGCATCCTCCAAGCCGGGCACCCTGTGCCAGGTACTGTGTGCTGGAGGGGGGAGGGAAGAGGGGTTTCCCCAATTTACGATGAGGAACTTGGGGCTCAGAGAGGGACAGAACTTGTCTAACTGCACCCAGCAGTTGGTGACAGAGGCAGGAGTCCACCCCAATTCCACAAAGGCCTGAGGTACTTACCCTGTATCTGTACTGGAGCAGTCTCTGGGGCTCAGAAACAAACAGCCAAGGGAGAGTGAGGTCCCCCGAACTCCACGATGGCGAGGCTCACCTCACCAGCAGCAGGGCCCACTCCTCCCAACCAGGGAAATGGATTTGCTGAGCACAGCCCTGGGAGAGCTGTGCAGTGAGGCCAAGCTCGCAGGTACAGAGAAAGCTGCCTTGAGTGGAGCCAGACAGGAGGGAGGTGGACAGAGGGTGAGCACTGGAAACTCACCTGTTCGGTCCATGGTGGCGTCAGATGTGAAGAACCTAGAGAAGACACCTCTCTCTCTTGCTGTGGCCACCAGTGAAGGTGGTCACACGGGTCAGCTGCAGCCAGCAGAAGCCCCGACCCCAGGGTAAGCGACCATGTTAGAAGGCGAGAGGGCAGCGAGGGGAAGGGTCCTCCCACCCAAAGAGGGCCTGACCCCTAGACGGCCAAGCCCAGCCAGAGACCCAGAGCCCAGGGTCCTTGAGATGCATGGGCACTGGAGAGGAGGCTCCCATTGCTCCAGTCCCTCCCTGACACCAGACACCAATGAAAGTGCTGGGTCTGTTGGGAGGTACAGAAGGGGAGCCAATCTGGCCCGTGCAAGCACCCGTCTGACACTCTACCCACAATGGGATGGAGCCAGACCCAGGCCTGTCAGAGCAGCTGCAGGGCCCATGGGTGGCAGCCTTCTTGGGGGACTGATGGGCCAAAACATGGGCAACCCCTCCACCCTCAGGGTCTTCAGTCGAGGGGCATGGTGGCAACTTGACCTGTGTGCAAAGGAGCTGGGGCCCTGAGTGGTAGCTGCCCTGGTGCACTGGCCACTCCCTGGGCAGGGGAGCAGGGGCTGGGCAGAGGCCTGGGGTTGGGCTCTAGCCCTCAAGCCCACAACCCTGGGCGGCCAGACCTGCTCCGGCCGTCCGGGCTCCACAGGCCAGCTGTAGGGCACTGGCACTGCCCCTCTGCTTGAAAACCTGTTCTTAAAACTGACTCCCCCTTAGGCAGAGACTGCACTGAGCCGAGATTGCACCACTGCACTGCAGCCTGGGTGACAGAGCAAGATTCCACCTCAAAAAAACAAAACAAAACAAATCTGACTCCCCCTAATAAAAACACTCCAGTAGCCTCTACAAGCTCTTCAGTAGCTATCCAGAACCCTTCACTCCAACCAGGGGCTCTGTCCCCAGGGGACACACCAGCCTCACTACTGCCACCTGGAGCACTCCAAGGCCAGCTCCTCCTCAGCCTTCAGGGCTGTTGGAAGTCTCAGGCTCTCCCTGCCGCCCAGTTCAATGAGTCCCTTTTAAGGTTTCATCTCACCACCACCCCTTCTTCCTATAGCATCCAAACCTGGCAAGATTCTGATTAGCAGCCGGGCGTCTCACTGCCTGGAATGCAGGCGCCTGGGGTCCGCGCCTCAGCTGTTCTGCTGCCAATGGAACACACCAGGTGCTCAGCAAAAGCCCTGAGACCACCGGGGCTAGACTTGGGAACAGGAGCAACAACTCTCACACCTGCAGGCCCGGGGGCTACCGCACCACCTGTTCAGGGGACAGCCCGATCGAGGGTGTGGCTTCCCTCCAACAGGGCTGGCTGGGAGCCAGCGTTCTCATTAACCCTCACCGTGCTCACTGCCCTGACACCGGAGGGAAGCCGGGCAGAGGCCATGGAGCTGCCAGGCTGTTGGAGCCAACCCAACCACCCAGTGGCCCAACTCCGGGTCAGGAAACAGCCACTGTCCTGAGGGCTGTGCCCAGAGGAAGGAACAGACAGTATATTGCTGCGTGATTTTATTACTATAAATATACAGTAAAAACAAATGGGCCCATCTGAGCACATCAAATGGCAGCACATAGAGGAGTCCCAGCGGGCCATTCTGCAGCCTGAACTTCACGGAGAGCCCTGGCACCAGGACCGACGGCCACAGGCTGGGGCCTTGGCAGAGCGGGAGGAGAGGTGGGGTTGGGGGGAGGTGTGTGGGGGGAGGTGCGTTGGGGAGATGCCTGGGCCAAGTGCACACACACGTGGGAGCATATGCGTATGGGTATGTGTATGCGTGCACGTGTGTGGGAGCATGTGTGTATGCGTATGAGTGTGTGCAAATATGCCTGAGCATGTGTGCGTGAACGTGGGAGCATGTGTGTATGAGCATGTGCAAGTGACTGTGCATAAGCATGTGTGTGAATGTGAGAGCATGTGCACAAGGGCAGGAGGGGACTGGCCTGGGTGTGCAGGGAGCTGGGTGCAGGGAACACTGCTGGGTCCCCCCTGAGCGCCCAGGAAGCAGAGCTTGTACTCAAGGCCACCCTGAACCTCAGGGAGGGCTGTGAGCTGCCCCACAGCCATCTGATCCCCAAGCCCAGCTGCAGGGCAACCTCCCCGCCCCCGGGCCAGAAGACCCACACATACCTTCCCGGCCCAGGGCCCTGCTGGGGTGGCTCAAGTCCTGGGTCACCAAGGCCAGATACCCCCTTCACCTGTCTGCTGCCCAGGATGTTTACCTTAATAAAAACAGGACAACGTCGCCCAGAGGCCAAGCCTCCAGGCTGTGACCTCACTTACCAGGTGGGCTGCTGGCTCCCTCCTCCCCGGGCGGGTCTCACCGAGGGAGCCTGACACATCAAATCAGAGAGAACCACAAGGGGGCCGGGCGCAGCGGATCATGCCTGTAATCCCAGCACTTTGCGAGGTGGGTGGATCACCTGAGGTCAGGAGTTCGGGACCAGCCAGACCGACATGGTGAAACCCTGTCTCTACTAAAAATACAAAAAAATTAGCCAGGGTTGGTGGCATGCACCTATAATCCCAGCTACTCGGGAGGCTGAGGCAGGACAACCACTTGAACCTGGGAGGTGGAGGTTACAGTGAGCGAAACCATGCCACTGTACTCCAGCCTGGGCAACAAGAGTGAAACTCCATCTCAAAAAAAAGAGAACCGCAGGGGACATTCCAATGGCAAAAGGGAATGGTCCTTCTTGACAGGGCCCTGCTGAACGGATGGCCCTGCAACTGGAGGGGCCTGGTGAGGTCACCAAAGCCAGCACGGTGAGAAGGTGCAGGGCTTGGTAACAAGGCTGCTGGATGATGGCTGCTGGAAGCGGCTGTGCCTTGGCCCCTCAGTCAGGTCCAGTGCTAGGCTGAGATGCTTCAGCTGCCCAGAGCGACAGCAGTGCACCCCAAAGCTCTGAGCACTGAAGGCGCCAGCAGAGACACACCAGGGAGGGCATGGAGGCTGCACAAACACGGCAGAGGACAGAAGGCAGCAACAGCCAGGCTGCCGTGGTAACACCGGTGGGCTGGGCGGACAGGCACCGTTTCCTTCACTGACCGTGCCTCGAGCCCCCACTGCCCCCGAACATCTGTGAAGATAGTGCTTCACCCACCAATAAATTCTCTTGTGCAGGTCTGCTGAGTTCTCTGGGCAGCAACTGCACTGCTGAGGGACCGGGTGCAGCCAGCAAAAGCCACATGTGGGCAGCCCCAGCCCCAGATGCTCGGCCCACCAGACCCTGGGGAACCCAGGCGCTGAACTTGGGATGGAAAGCTGCTGTCCTTCATCTTGTACCAGTTACAAATATATCAACCATAGAAAAGGGGGACTTGGGGGACAGTCCACTGTGCTCTTTCATCAGGGGTCACCACAGCCCCTTGGAGCCTGGTGGCCACAGGGGGCATGCAGACAGGAGAGGCCGAGTCACACCGGGGTCTGGGGCAGCCCCTTGGCAAAGTCTAGGGAGCTGAGGGCTCCATGCTGCCAGCTTGGCCAGGCTCTCAGAGTGAGGTCAGCTCGGCGGTGCTGGGATCAGGGCTGGGGCCACCAAGAGGAGGCCAGGTGGGGCTGGTGGTGCCAAGGCTGTGGGCCATTTCCATGGAGGTGGGCCATCCTGCAGGCAGGAGCAGAGGGGGAGGGAGGTGGGTCACACTCAGTTGCTTGGTGCCACCCACTCCTACCAACCTGGAGCCACACAGGGGTGGGCCACCCCGCACCCCCACTCCCGCCACCTGTCTGTGGCCAGAACAGATGGGGCCTCTACAGCCCTGCCAAGCACGGTGTGTCCCTCTCAGGCAGATCACCCCTCATCCCAGGACACCAGGCACATCACCCTGCACCCCCAGACACTGGCAGCAGAGCTGCAGCCCCGAGTCAGAACACGACGTGGCGCTGTGGCTTCTGTCCTCTGGGTCTCCTGCCCTCCCCCCGGTCCCAGTTTCCTGGGATGTGACCACCCACTGTCCTGCTAAGGTCCTTATGGCTAGGTTAGGCTAGAACTCAGTCACCCTGGGGTAGAGGGGCAGGGAGCAGCCCCGAGCGAGAACGATCCCAAGCTCAGAGTGGCCCCATGGTGGCTTCTGTGAGGCAGAGAGGAGCCTCCCACAGAGCCCCGACGCTTGGACTATGGCTTCTACACCGCTGCCAGGTGCTGTCCCCAGATGGGTCTGGCTTCCCCGGGGCTTGGGTAACAGTGCTGGTGCTGAGCCTGGGACGGGGCCAGCACGGCCTCAGGGCTGCCCAACATCCAGCCACCAGCCCTGACCCATGGCTCCCAGCAGACAGGGCCCGGCCCCGCTCTCAGGTGAAGGATGGCTATCTTCCTCAGGGGCTTCGGCCTGCAGCAAAACCAGAGCTCAGAGGCTGTGAGCCTGTTCCAGACCACACCTGCGCTCCCCACCTCTGGAAGCTTGACCTGAGCCGTAACATTCGAACGGCACCATCCCCCGACGCGCAGGCCGGGGCCCTCTAAAAGGTGCAGGTGGCGTTTCAGTCAAGGGGTATGACAGGTCAGGAGAGGGGTCCACAGAGGGACGCACTGGGCTCAAGACGACAGATGCGTGAGAACGCAGAGTGCAGTCAAAACAAGCAAAGCTCCTGGGCCCAGCTCAAGTCCGCCCAGGGGAAAGGGCCTCTGGGAGCCTGGACCCCGGCTGGGCACTTCCCAGCGGGCCACATGGGCCTTGCCCGATGATGGCTGCGGTCCTGTGCGGGAGCCCCGGCCTCAGAGAACACCAGCAGCCCCCTCAGCAGACCAGAGCTGCAGGCGGCATGTGCGCCCAGACCCTTCGGGAAGGCAGAGGGTCCCCAGTCTGCCTGCCTACTTTTTGGTGGTACTCCTGGAGCTGTCCTCTCTCTCTCTCTCCCGTGCGTGTGTGTGTGTGTGTGTGTACGTGTGTGTGTGTTTGCATGTGTATATTTTCTGTTTTTGAGACAAGGACTCAGGCTGGAGTGGGCCTGGACCTCCCCAGCTCAGGCAATCCTCCCACCTCAGCCCTCTTAGGAGCTGGGACCACAGGTGTAAGCCACCAAGCTCAAGCCAGTTTTTAAACTTTTGTAGAGGGGTCTCACTATGTTTCCCACACTACTTTGAAATCCTGGGCTCAAGTCATCTAACCCCTTGGTCTCCCAAAGACCTGGGATTACAGGTGTGAGCCAGTGCCCGGCCAGAGCGGCTTTGGTCAAACATCCGCCTGGGCCACCCTGGTAGAGAGTGCCTCTTGGGGGGGATGAGGGGGTCTCCTGGGAGGGAATGGGGGTGCCAGCCTCACAGGGCCTATCACACTCAGTGCTGGTGTTCCAGAAAGTTCCAGTACTGGCAGGGACAGGTGAGTTAGCAGTAATGGTGGTCTCGAAGCAGAAAGGCAGCCCACAAGGGACTGTCTGCCAGGCCCACGGAGCCAGGCTGACTAGCGAAGGAGGGAGCAGGGGAGCAGGGGAGCAGGGGAGCAGGCAGCTGTGTGAGTGGACGCCCTCAGGACAGGATGCAAGATGCTCTCCCCTGGGCACCAGAAGGCCCCTTAAGGAGAGACTCCCTCCAAGAGACGGGGACTGAGCTTGGGAACAGGGATCACCAGGCTCTCCCAGCCTGGGGCGCATTCTTTTCCCCATGATTTATTACTTAAAGCCATGTCCAGAAAATGGGAGTGACCTGCTGCACATCCCAACGGGAACTCACAGGGGACTATCCGGAACAAGGCTGGGCCTGGGCCTGAGGCTCTCCTCTCCGAAGTGTCGCCCCGCGTCTCCCTGGGGTTCCCTCCATGCTCCTGCCTCCTGTGGGGGACAGTGGCTCTGGCACACCTGGGCTGGGTCTGTCTCCCTGCCTGGGCTGGGACTATTCTAGGGCCTCTCAAGGCTGGAAGAAGATCCTGACCAGTCGCCGGGTCCAAATGCAGAGACCTCTGGCTCTAAAAGTCAGGACCCCTCAGGAGGCCACTTTCTGGGGCAAAGGTACAGCGGCCACCAGAGCTCTGGATTCAGAACCCAGGACCCCTGGGAAGACATGGATGTGGATGAAGACCCGAAAACCAGAAGGAACCCCCACCAGAGACCAGGGGAGGGCTCCTCTCTCCAAGGACGCACGTCAGAGCCCCCGAAGCGCGTCTGGAAGGTCACGTACCGGCTTACTCGTCTATACCAACAGAGCAGGAGTCGGGCCCCAGGGCTGCGCGGAGAGGGGAGAGACAGACGGAAGCTCAGTTAGCACGCACCCAGCAGCTGGCACCGCCACAGCAAGGGCACCAGCCTGGGGACCAAGGTCGGGGCCATCTAGAAACAAACGCTGTGCTGCAACCACACAGAACCGCAAGGAGAACCACAGCTGGGAGGCGGAACGTGGCCAGAATCCAACTTGGAGGAGCACCCGGCCCTGCCTCTCCCTCCTGCAGCTCCCACACGGCAGCTGAGGGAAGGGTGCAGGAAGGACGAAGCAGGTGCAGTCCACCTCTGGGTTCAGGAGGGAAGGCCCTGGGCAGGGGCTGGGGCTAGACAGGGCTGAGCCAGGGGAAACCCCGAGACACCAGAACCCCCGGTGTTCACCATCTCATGGGCCCTCCCATCTACAGGGACACCAGGG